GCAGTTAGTTTAAGTTTGAAAGCATAACATAAATTTTTGAAAATACGGCCCAATTTAGAAAATAGAATGATAAAAATTATTTGAATTTGAGATGAGAAAGTTATTTAATTTTTATTTATATTATATTAGAATGAGTGTGGTAGAAATAGATATCAAACAAGCTAATAAAAATCAACATGACAGTGTAATAATATTAGGAATTGAATAATATAATATCAAAAATAAATAATAAATAGAGAAAAAACAAAAATTCAGATTTTTACAATAGAGAAAAAGGGTAAAAACTAATTTAAATTTGATATGAGAAAGTTTTTTATTTTTTGATAAGAAAAGTCATAATATGGATAAGTTCACGAAACTCAAGTCTAATAGATAAAATCAAAAACTAAAAATATTGAATAATAAAAATAAATTAGATATAATGTGAGGATATTTATAATCATACGTTTAGAGAATAAAATAAAGTAAATATACAATACTTAAAATACTATTAAAAATTAAATAATTTAAAATTTTCAAGCAATATTTTTAAAACAAACTATATATATTTATTTTATGATTAAGAAAATTATATATTTATCTATATTATATTGAAGAATATTAATTGATAATGATATTAAATAAAGATACAAGTTAATGAAAAGTAACATAACGTAATAAGACTATATATTGGATTAAAAAATAGCAAAATTACTTAAATTATTAAAAATTTACTATTAGAAATGAAAGGGAAAGACTATTTGAATTTGAGATTAGAAAGTTCTTAAAAGCCAATTTTGTATCAATAGATTACAAAATAAATACACGTAATACAAAAATAATTATAAGAAAATTCAATAGATTTGAAACATTATAAAAGAACTTATATATTATTTTTTAGACTAATTCAAAGTTATATTTTAAAATAAAATATGATATAAATGTTCCCGATTGAGAACTATCAAATATAAGAAAAGTATCATACTTCAGTTTGAATTTTTAATTGAATAGAAAGTTGAAATTATGTTTATTTTGAGTATAGGTAAAAAAATTATGTATAAAGAGGAAAATAGAGATAGTGCGAGGATACTTATATTTATAAATTTATTAAAAATAAATAAATTAAATTATTAAATAGTAGTCAAAAATATTACTAATAGATTTAAATGATGGAAAAGATCCGAGTAAGTGGATAATAGTGTAAAAATACATTAAAGTTCAAGAATAATTTTCTTTAACATTTATTGATGATTATTAAAAGGTTAATAAACAAGATTAATAAAAGATCACATTATAGTATAACAATATTAAGTAATAAATAATGCAAAAATTATAAGCAAGGAACAAAAAAGAGAAAAAAAATTATGTCTAAAAATGTAGAAGGATAAGAATATTTGAATTTGAGATGGAAACTAGATTGGTAGTAAGAATTTTGTTAAAATAATATAATTTAATGTGCTCAAACAAGACAAATCACAATGCTACATATATAGTATTCTTTAATACTGGCCGTAAAATGTAATACAAGCGTAAAAATCAAGGGTTTGGGTTATTACAGATAAAAGAAGAAGAAAATAATTATCCACTATGAGATTTGAAAAATGATTTCATACCCTGCTTTTTAATTAATATCAAATAATTGTTTATAATTTATATATAGAAAATTTAATTTAAGGTTATTTGCATATAATTTAAATAACCCAAATCATAATTTGATATGCTTTATGTTGGCCCATAGCGCCGGTACTAATACTGGTCAGTATTAAGGAGATCGTGTGGGGCTTGTACAAATATCATTTCACCCGGTACTCATTCTCTCAGTTATTAGGGCTTCTGGCTTCTGTGTCTCCCATTCTCTCTCTTAGGGCTTCTGCGTCTCCCATTTCTCCACTTTTCAACACAACGATACACGTTTCATCTAACACCATGGATGGGGGGGCGACTGGCTCTGTTATTCCGGCGAACAGGAGGCGGCCGCCGATGGAGGAAGACAGATTATTCTTCGAGACATCAAAGGGCGTGGAACCCATCGCTAGTTTCGCTGAGATGGGAATTAAAGATGACCTTCTTAGAGGTGTTTATCAATACGGGTTTGAAAAGCCTTCTGCCATTCAACAACGGGCCGTGCTGCCTATTATATCGGGCCGTGACGTTATCGCTCAGGCCCAATCCGGTACCGGAAAAACCTCCATGATTGCACTCACTGTTTGCCAAATTGTGGATACCAAATCTTCCGAGTATGTGTTATCATTCCCTTACTTTTTCCTCACTAGGGTGTAGTTTTAAAAAATATTGTTTTTAATGGATGGTTCAATTTGAATGAAGCATGTAATAAGATGGATATAGATCAGCTAGTTTGTGATTTAGGTTTAGTAGTAGTTGAGGATAGTTGTGGTGGGTGATCAGTATCCGTCCATCCTTAACGGAGTTGTGGTGAGAATGGAGTTGCCTTTGGGTATGTTTGCACATAAATATAGTATCCGTGAATATGAGGGTATTGACGCTGGGTGGGTTTTGTACACATAAATATAGTTCTTTTTTATAAGGTAAGATAATGTTTGCACATAAATATAGTTCAAGTAGAAGGTGCTGAGTGGGGGATGCACGTGCTGATATGCAAGGAATTTCTTCATAATGAGTCCACTTTGACTGCAACATTAGGCTCCCTATCAAACTCAAATTCTAACTATATATTTTGGATTACCTATCTCTGTGCCCGAAGAAAGGGGAAATTATCCTATTTTGTAGGATTAATATCAAAGAGCATTGTGGACTATTATGGTGTAGTGACTAGAACGTAAATTGATGTGTGGATTGGGCGCATGTCAAGGATTCAAACTCGCCATAGAAAGCTTGACATTTATGTGCATAATGTATTAGTGGTGTAGGGACTGGCCCGCTACCCATTGAGTTTCAAACCTTGCCCAGTTGGCCCTCAGTTATAAAAAAACATTTTAGATTATTACTAAACCATCAACAACAATAATAATTGTCTCATTCTAGAACTAGGTGGAGATGTAGAGTTGGCAATATGAAATTTGGGCTTGTTTCGCTCCCATACAACAACTATGTGTCAATCCTATAAGTTGTTGTAGTTTGCTATATGAATCCTCACGAATCATGTAGCTCTATTTTGGGATTGTTTTGCTCCAATGCAACAACTATGAGTCAATACAAAAGTAGTTGTAGTTTGCCATATGAATCCCCACTAATATCACCGTTCTATTTTGGGATTGTTTTGCCCCAATACTTAATGATTTGTATTTTAAGACGCTTTGGAGGCTCTTTAAAATTATAGATTCTATGTTTAAATAACAACTATGCCTCAGTCCCAAACACGTTGGGGTCGATATAAAAAGGGCAGGCCGGTACACAAAACATCTATACCTCAGTCCCAAACAAGTTAGTTACTAAATCAAAAGAATTCTTGGCAAGACCGGACATAATGTAAGCTAAGTTGCTCGGACACGAGTGCGGATCTAGAGGTCAGATCCTTTGAGATGTAAATTCTAAGATTGGGGGATACGGATCCTTGTACGGATACGGGTGGAGGGATCCGGCTAAAAATAATTCAAAAAAATAAAAATCTAAGAATATCTCTAGATTATGAGACATTTTGTGGAATACTTACGTATAGCTTGTAAAGTGTGATTTTTTTAATTCTCAAGTTGTAGATAAGTAAATGATTGATTTCCTAGATAAGGTATGTTATTATCTTCAAATTTACCCATACTAGTGTGGTGTCGACATGGGTGCGTCAGCTAAACTGCCGCGTCGGAGCAACTTAGAATGTAGGTCTAGAAATAATGGCTAGATCCTTATCTCAGCCAGATATTGTTGCTTATATGAATATTTCTCTTCCATTGTGCTCTATTATTTGCTTAGTTCACATGAATAGAAGTTGTAGATATTTTTGATACCTCTCTCACGTGATTTAGGTCTACATATATAGATGATATGTATGTGTATTTGAAAATTTTGAAATTAGACTCATTATCTAGGCTTACACTTGTTGCTTCAAAAAGTGTTTTCCTCTCCCACCTCCTTAAAATCCTGAAGCCACATGCTATTTGTTTATATGAAATTATGATTTGTGATGGTGAGATGTTTATATTTTCGTTCCTATGACTTTTAAGTTTATCGAAATGCAGATATGATCGACGTATTTAGTTATAACAACTTATGACCAGTAAGGTGATTTTGCTTTCTGGTATAGTTCAGAATTAGATGATTGCCTTTGCTCCTGCTTTTTTTAGATTATTTGATCAAGTGAAGGAAAAATAATAAGGAAATGGGGCTATTGAATTAAAAGTAGTTATTTCCTTTTGGCCACTTATAAAGTTATGAATTTATATAATCTTTACCTTATTAAAAAAGTTATGAATTTATATGCAGTTTTTTCCGGTATAAAAAAAGGTTATGAATTTATATGCAGTTTGCTCTTTAATGAAGTCTAAGAATTTTGAGTGAACTGCCATGTTTTTTCTTAGGGTACAAGCATTAATTTTGTCGCCTACGCGGGAGCTTGCAGCTCAAACAGAAAAGGTGATTTTGGCTATTGGAGATTACATTAACGTTCAGGCACATGCATGTATTGGAGGCAAAAGCGTAGGTGAAGATATCAGAAAACTAGAGCATGGAGTACAAGTAGTCTCTGGAACTCCTGGAAGAGTCTGTGACATGATTAAAAGGAGAACTTTACGAACTAGGGGTATAAAATTATTGATTCTTGTAAGTTTATGGCTTTCTTCTGACCTTCATATTTTAATTTGCTTGCTGAACTCTTTTTTGTACTTCTCCATTAAAATTATTGAGGTCTTACTCTGCTTCTGATGTTTGTTAGGATGAATCTGATGAGATGTTGAGCCGTGGTTTTAAGGATCAGATATATGATGTTTACAGATATCTTCCACCGGAGCTTCAGGTGAGTTGTCTGTTTCTCTAAACGCATACAAAGACTTTCGTTCTTGCTTATTAGGTTTGATTATTTCTACTAACGTTTATTGTTCATGTTGATCAAGATATTACAAATCTTCATCTAGAACTGTCTGTACGCTGTTAATTTTGGCATGTGGCTGCCCACCACTTAATCCTATTGATTGTGCAGCTCCTTATTGATCCGTCATTGGTCATTATCTGTTGATAGTGTTGCTTGAATGCAATTCTCGTGCATGCTGTTGGTGTCTATGTGATGTCTAGAGGTTTACTTTGTATTCTTTACATTTTGATTTGCTGTTTCTGTTTTTAACTGTATGATTCAGTAGTTTAGAAAATCAAGAATCCAGTTTGCTTTGCATGTTTTCCTTGCTTTGAGGGAAAGAAATGGGAATGAAAATTGTCCGGGTGTTCCACTTTCTTGGTAGAGTCCTCTTTGTTGTTTGTTATGTATGATACTTTGTTGTATAGAGGAAGAGACGGTCTGTGCTCACCAACTAAAAAATGGAACTAAAAATTTTCATTAGATTCTCCCACTGTGCTTTTATGTACTTACATGTGTGTGTATCCATCTTTTTTTTTTTCTTTTTGGAATGGGGGATAAGTATATTAACACTTGACATATGTATATTAACTTTGCAGGTTGTACTGATTTCTGCCACTCTTCCAAATGAAATTCTGGAGATAACAAGCAAATTTATGACAGATCCTGTTCGGATTCTTGTTAAACGTGATGAGTTGACTCTGGAGGCAAGTGATGATTTGAATTTTTTCTTGTTCACACACATGCCCACACACAGGAAATGCAGATGCACTTTCACAATGATACTGACGTACTAACTTTCAACTTGAATTTGTTTTCCTCATGTTGGTTTTTGTTCTGTGTTGTTGCAGGGAATCAAACAGTTCTTTGTCGCGGTTGAGAAAGAAGAGTGGAAATTTGATACACTTTGTGATCTTTATGATACACTCACCATCACCCAGGCTGTTATTTTCTGCAACACAAAACGAAAGGTAACATTGTCACCTGTTTATTTTGCTCCCAAGTGAATCACATTGGGTTTCCTTTTTGACAAGTCAAGTGAATTATTGTGCACTATTGCCTTAACTAAGAGATACTGGGTTATTAGGAGCTTTTAGGGTTTTGATTGGTTTTTTTAGGGGTTTCTCATTCAGGATAGATTTACGTTTTGTATGTGAGTAATTGGATAGCGTTTGAAATCATTCTGATATATGTTGAGCGTCCATTTCGGTGAATGCTGTTCTGTGTAGTAATCAGTGGAGAAGCCAAAAGAAATCATTCTACTTTAATGTATGTTGGAGATGGACTAATGCAATAAGTCTTTGACAATGAGGCTGTAATGCACGTTGCTTCAGATCTAATGTTCCATGAAAAAACAGAGCATATAGAAGTAGAGTGCCATTTCATTCGACAAAAGATTGAATCGGGGTGCATTTGACAGGTTTTGTCAACTCGAATGATTAGCTAGCAGATACTTTTAAAGTCAACCCGTGGCTCCAAAATCGAGTACATTTGCGGCAAGTTAGGAGCATACAATATGTATACTTCAACTTGAGAGGGAGTTTTAAGAATGTCAATATTAGGAAATTGTGAATATGGCAAAGGTTTACCTATAATTGTGTTATTAGGAACGGGAATCTCCTTTTTTCCCATTTTTTATTTACTCGAAAACACTATTTAAATTCCGACATGCTTGAGGGAATGTCAAGAATCTCTTCTTTCTTTTTCCGCAAATAGGTGCATTTGTTTTTGTACTATGCCTTTCTAAATGAAGTGCGATTAATGTGACAGGTTGATTGGCTGACCAGCAAGATGCGTGAAAATAATTTTACAGTCTCATCTATGCACGGAGATATGCCACAGAAGGAGAGAGACGCTATTATGGCAGAGTTCCGAGGTGGCACGACTCGTGTTCTAATCACCACAGATGTTTGGGCAAGGGGATTGGATGTTCAACAGGCAAGCTCTATGTCCTTTTCTGTTACACAGCCTCCATGCCCTAATTCAGTTCTTTAATTTGTGATATCGACCTTTTAATTGGTTGTAAGCTACTATTATTAATTTTGACAGTCTTGATAATCCAGGTTTACCTAAGCGATCCCCAAGTCTACTTGTCGTTGAGATCTATGTAAAGATGAGGTTGTTTTTGCCGGTAGAGTTTGTTCTGAAAGTTGGAACATGTCCATTATGATCAAGTACAAAAGCTCTAGATATTGTACTTTTTAGTGATGGAAATTGTTTGCTACCTTAAAGATACAACGATAGACTATTACAGGGACTTGATCTGGTGCTTGCATTTTTTGAAGTTTTCTAGGTTTTTCCTTTGTAAACATTTCAGTTAATATTACTTGGTTCATTTGGAATGTATAATTTCATTTCTTACTTTGCCGCAAAAGTCAATTAATATAGATGAGAAAAAGGTTGCAAAGGATCGAGAAGAATCGGTGAAGAGGAGTGTACCTTCTCTCTGTGGACATCCTACTCACTCCTGATTTTGGAAACATTTCCCTCTTCCCCATCTCGGGATTTCTTCAGTGCTGTGGATAGAGGAGGGAGAATATAGATAATTCATAATATCTTGATAGATCGTAAAAGTGGCCGACTTGGGCTTTTATTGCAGTAGTTATGCTGGAATTGATCTGGGATATGAAACATTTCGCTTGATAGATTGCAAAGTGTTTGACTTAGGCTTCTAAATCAATAGCTATATATATATATATATATATATATATATATATATATATATATATATATATATAGAATTGATTCTGGATATATATAGGAGTAGCTTTTAATGCAATAATTATTGGTGTTGATTCTGGATATGATTTTACATTCTTTTAGCAAAGGTTAACAAAAGATATGATAGCCCATGATTAAGCAGCTATTTACTTGTGTGCAAATACATTTTGTGATATTTGATAGGCTTGTGTACAATCAAGAAGCTATTTTCCTACAGAAAATGCATTTCGATATACCTGATGGTATCACTATCAAGGATAAGAATGGTGTGACAAATGATTTACAAATGCAACAATAGCTAGAATGCAACAAAATACATTTTGTGATATTTGATAGGCTTGTGTACAATCAAGAAGCTATTTTCCTACAGAAAATGCATTTCGATATACCTGATGGTATCACTATCAAGGATAAGAATGGTGTGACAAATGATTTACAAATGCAACAATAGCTAGAATGTTGACTTAGTTCATACTTGATATTCGGACCTACTGTGGCAAACACATTATCGTCTGAGTATCCTTGTTTGTTCGCCTCTTCAGACTGCCACATCTAGGAGAATCTTTCTGCTATACTGTCCTTGTTTATAAAGATGTTACTGTATTATCCTTCATACTTTGCTTACTATTTCGATTTCAGGTGTCTCTGGTGATTAATTATGACCTTCCAAACAATAGAGAGCTGTACATTCATCGCATTGGTCGCTCTGGTCGTTTTGGTCGAAAGGTATATTTCTTGTCTTCCTCATAAATTAATCCCTTTTTTTATCACCTCCATGTTGTCTTCTGTTTTTCTTGCTCACTATGCCTGATAATTGTGCCCATGTGCTGCAACTTAAGCTCATCATACGATGACGAAAAGCTTGTAGAAATTTCTTGTACAATGTGTAGCATTTAGCAGATGAATATAACTATTCAATACAAGATTACAACTAAACAAGGACGTCTCCATAGATATATTTTTTCTACAGCCAAAGACCTACTAACGGGAGTGGTATGCCAAATGCCTCGTACTCCAAACAATCCCTTGCAGTGCCCTTTACTTCAACGGAGCGCTCTGACAACTGCTTCCACAGAGCTAAAAGAGGATATCTCCTTAGATGTTTTTGTTCTATGGACCAAGAACACTTGCTGAAAAGTGGTGTAACAAAGTTCTCATACTCCAAGCTATCTCTTGCAGTGCCCTTTGCTGAAGGAAAGTTAATCCAAAGAAATTCCACAGCACTCTTGACAACCCCTTCATTTGCTCAGCTATTGATCATTGACTCAGTAGTGCAGAGGCAGATACTTATTTTACAATAGCTAACATTTATACTTGCTTTAAATTTTAATATGCCGTCCGGATTGTTGTTGCTTCATTGCAGCGTTCCCATCGTCCCAAACGTTAACTTACGAAATCATTTATTTGCTTGGGAACCTTTTGGACATTTGCCTCCTTTTCTCAAATCGCGCCGAAAAGAACTTTTATATTCATTCATGTGATATGACTGATGAATTGTTTTTCCTTCATGGGGTGCAGGGTGTTGCCATAAATTTTGTGAAGAGTGATGACATTAAAATTCTGAGAGACATAGAGCAATACTACAGCACCCAGATTGATGAAATGCCCATGAACGTCGCTGATTTGATATGAAAGGCTGAGCTTCCAATCTTCTGAATATGGTTCTGGTGTGGCTGCATTGGTTTGCCTTCTGAGTGGTTTGTACCAAGGATAAGTTTTTGATGGCGAGAAATTGGTGGATGTTCTATTTATTGGTACTGTGTGACATATTGGCTTTCTTGTGCGTCATATTTTGTTGCGAAGTGTAATTCTGGAAGACAGGATGATCTCTTTAACATAGGCTTGATAAATTTGTCTTGAAGAACTTTACTGAATTTGCCTGTGGTGTTAGTTTTGTCTGTTAAGATGTACAATTTTCTGAAACTTATCCTGAATGTGGCGATGATGTGTATAATTCCCTTCTATTTCAACCCATGTACAATTTTCTGAAACTTATCCTGAATGTGGTGATGATGTGTATAATTCCCTTCTATTTCAACCCATTCCTATGGACTGAAAAGTTTGTAACATTTTTGTCGATCCAAGTAACAACAACAACCGAGTATAATCCCACTAGTGGGGACTGGGGAGGGTAGTGTGTACGCAGACCTTACCCCTATCATGGGGTAGAGAGGTTGTTTCCAAATAGACCCCTGACATTCTTTCCACCAAGAACTCCCCACCTTACTCTTTGGGTGACTCGAACTCATAACCTCTTGGTTGAAAGTGGGGGTTGCTTACCATCAGAGCAATCCCTCTTGTTGATCCAAGTAACTGTATCTCAAAGTCACAGGCTGCCCTCGTATTAGCGGAGCACTCAGGCATTTAATAATATTATAACTTTTGGGGGCAGCATCTCTGTTTGTTCGAGGTCTATGTTATGTCGTGATTTATGGATGATCGAGATTAATGTTGCTACAGTGTTCTTATCGGAGAGAGATTGCTCGTCTTGTTGTCCCTACTGATCTGACGAGAAGTCCAAGTTTCTTGGTCCACCTTGTGAGTTGCTTGATATTTACGTCAAACTATATCTATTACATGATTAAGTGAATAAACTAAACCATGGTTAAATGAAAGTTTGTGTAGCTGGTGCTTTTTCCTAAATTCTTATCACTGTTAACCCTAGTGATAAAGAAAATTTGAAGTCTTCAATCCCTCTCCTCTTTTGCTTCATCCCTCTGTAGCTACATGTTTGTGTAACTCTTTCAAGGGATTCAGAAACAGGTTTTCCGTTGAGCAAAGGGAAACTTACACAAATGTCCCATATAACTTTCAACTTACCAACCTCTAGCCATTAGTCATAAACTTACCAAAACAGCCAAGCACATATAAAAATTGAAAAACTAAATAAATAAGGTTCTTTATCTCAAAGAATCACATGCAAAAATCTCCCTCCATATGTGATTAAGTAGAAGTTTCATCAAGTATATCATATGTCACTTGTTGCTATTGCACCATAGTACCCCTCTGTAAAATAGAACTGATCGTGAGAGGCAGAATCAGTGACCAGAAAGTTTTCAATCCACTGAGACACTCTAGAACAAATACCATAAAGAGGCATTTAAGAGTATTGCTCATCTAGTAGGATAGAATCCATAACTAATCAAAACAGCCTCACAGCCAAATAAGCTATGAAATGATATTAGATGTATCAGCTCTACTACATAAGACTTCATCTAGCAGGATCTGGATAAATGTATCAAGGCAGCAGCACTAGCTATTTTCCTTCTCTTTTGATAGGTGCATCTTGCCAGCTAAACTACTGCCAAACCAAAAATGGTGAAACTTACCACTATTTTTGCTTTTGTTCCAAGCAACCATGTTTCCACAAGTCATTCAATTGTATTTGTAGGCAGATTCATTAACGCAAGTTGAACAAAGACAAACACGCAAAATATGCAGCGAAAACTCGAAAAATGACATACGTGATAATTTTCAAGAAAGGTTCCAGTATGTGCAGAAAATCGAAAAACTTGACCATTTTCTGTATAGCATCCTTTTTGAGCAAAGCTTGTTCCACTTTCCTGCTTTCGTTGTCATGTACCAAACAAACAGCAATGGAATCTAATGCTGTGACAGACCAGAGTTCATCTTCAAGTAAGCTCAGGTATACATCAAGTCCACCATGAGCACGAAGTTGCTCTCTTGAATTACGTGACGCATGATCCATATCACATAGAAGAGCGTAATGCATATTGTTTCAACGGAGAACTGGTCATGATAAAATGCATCAAGTGTGGAATAATTCCATTTTCCGCAGCTTGCTCCTGTCTTCTCTTATTGATCTTGCAGAGGTTGAACAATGCATGGAGAACCTGCAGTAAGTAAAAAAGCAAGAAAAAGTCCATGAGCATAGACTTCAGATATCACAACTAGGAATATACGCTAAGCAGTCACCTTACAGTGAATGTGTAAGCTTTAATTACAACAACAACGACCCAATATAATCCCACTAGTGGGGTCTGAGTAGTGTAGTGTGTACGCAGACCTTACCCCTTACCCCTACTCTGAGGTAGAGAGACTGTTTCCAATAGACCCTCGGCAACCTTCCCTCCAAGAACTCCCCACCTTGTTCTTGGGGTGACTCGAACTCACAACCTTTTGGTTGGAAGTGGAGAGTGCTTACAACCCACCTTGTCTAAATGTGTAAGCTTTAATTAGTTATTAAAAAAGAAAAAAATACTAAGAATATACCTATATCATTGTCAATTGACCGCGGGGGGTTTTGGAGGGTGGGGTGTCGAGGCAAATAAAGAATCAAGGCACCGTCATATTCGATATTATACAAGTACCACCATTGGGGTAATTTACTTGTTGTTGTTACACTAACATTAGGTTTTCGAGACATATAGTTTGCATTAAAAGACAGGTTACTTACTAGCATTGAAATGTAAGGGGACCAAATAGAGTGGACTATACAGAGGTTTAATTTAATGTTGCTGACCCCGATTAGTTTGGTATTGGAGTGTTATTTTGTTGATTGATAGTTTATTATATTCCAAGGACTAAGGCAAGACACAATATCAAAACTAAAAAGTTGTAAAAAAAGAAAAAAAAGAGCAACTGTTAGTGCAAACTGCAGAAACTCTCAAAACCCCGTAAACGATTTTGTTCTGTTATAAGAGATCGAAGTTCCATCAGAACAGCCATTTACAACTGACGAACCATAAGCAGACAATCTCCAACCAAATGATAACAACAAGTGACAAGGCCAGGCGTATAACATGGTCGGTCCCTCTTCAAGAAAAAGTTCACATCCTCAATTGCAATATAGACTAAACAGAGAGCGAAATTACAAATAAGCTTCTCAAATTGAATTATTCGCACTTGGTAACAAACCTTAATTACAGAATAGGCATTTTATGGATCAAAGAGAATTTTCACAAAGATTATAGGAAAAAATATTGAGATAATACGGAGTTCTAGTTTTGTTGTTTATGTTTCACTGAGAGAGCACAATATTTTGCTAATTAACCACGCCTAGTAATTTAGGTCTTCCTGTTTTCTATCTAAAGTTCTAAACTAAAGAAAAGCTAAAGAGAAAGAAAAGGAGAAGATTACGATGGGGTCCATCATTTATAGCATTCCCATCCTATCAACATCTGGATCGCCAAATTCATAAAATTTCTAGTGTCTTTGTAAGATATAAGATGTGAGGTTTAGGTAAAGCATAACTTGGGATTTTTTTTGAATGCTACTTAGTTACTTCCCATTTGTGTATCAACATGCATAGTTACTCAAAATGGGAAGTAACTACCTTTCAAATTTTTTTCCAAGTTTTGCTTTACATCTTTTATTTTAAACAAAGACACTAAAAATAGAGAGAATTCAGCAATCCAAATATTTAAGCACAACTATTTATTCTAAAGAAAAACAGTTACGCATAACCCCAATATTATCTCTGGTAGTAGAACTAAAATTCATTTAGGAAGCACTAAATGACCGAAAGAACCATAAAATGCAATGCAGGTTAAAGCTGGCCTGATACTACAACAACTGCTACTACTATTGCCTCAATCCCAAGAAGTTGGGGTCAGCTATGAGTCTGCACTGTGCATTCCACTCCATGTAAGCTCATAGCAGACCAATATTTATCAAAGCCAGCTTGATATGGAAACAAAAAAATTTGTAATGGCCCCTCTTAATCAATTCACTGAAAAAACAAGCCACTGTCAGATTTTACAAACACGACTGAGAAAGACCCAAGTTTTTTTTTTTGATAAGGTAAATTGTATTAATCAAAAGAAGGGGAAAACTCCCTTATACAAGATTTATACAACAGAGTAGAGAATTTACACCAGGACATGATTCTCTACGAAAGACGCCCAATTTTCCACACAAGTAGGGGCTATATGGGTACACCAAAAAGCAATCAAAGATAAAAGACTATTCTTAAGATTTGAAAAAGGAGACTCAACCCTTTCAAAAGCTCTCCTATTTCTCTCCCCCCAAACTATCCACATGAGAGCTAGCGGCGCGAACTTCCACGCCTTCTGTTTTCTTCTTCTATGTAGACCGGCCTAGCTGTATAACATTTCCTTTACAGAGCTTGGCATCACCCATTGAACACCAAAAAGATTCAGTATTGCCCTCCACAAGGTCGATGACTGATGATAAGCTATAATTACGTATTTTAGTCGCTTATTACACTCTAATTTACTGCACTTTAGTTGAGTTTGCGCTTTAATCGCTAGTGTTTTGCACTAATTGTGTGTTTTATGCCTTGTAGGTGTGATTCCGAGCTATATAGATGTTATGGAATGATTTTAAGTGATTTGAAGCTTTGAAGTCTGAGTAAAAGCTCAAGGAATTAAGCCGGGATCGTGTTCGGGGGTCAAATTTGATAGTTGAGAACAAACGACGACTCGAGTAGGCATATTGCACACTGTCTAGTAAAATGCACATAACTTTTTGCTCAGAACTCCATTTGGGCTCCACAATATATGGTTGGAAAGCTAACTCAAAGGGATATAACTCTCATGTTTTACGTTTTTCCAAATTCCAAAACTGAACAGGGTGAAAACCGCGGTCGAAACCGCGATAGAAAATCAGAGAGCTTGTCTGGCCGCGGTCCTACCGCGTTTTGGCCGCGGCCGCGCCGCTCCAAGCGTCAAAAAGAAGTCCTATTTCGTCCGGGACAAGGTTATTTCGGCCCTACACTATTCCAACTTGTATAAAAGGGGTCCTAAACCTATTTGAAGGAGGAGAGACACTACTTTAGGGTTAGACAACACCCTTGGGGGCAAGAGGCAAGGAGGATCATTGGGCATCAATCTTTAATCTTCTTCTTTGTTCTTTTGCCTTTGAATATGAATTCGTTTGTGATTTTTGTTATTTTCATGAGTAGCTAACTTTTCTAATCTAAGGTTTTGGTGAAACCCGTTGGGGATGAATTGGTTGTTATAAGTAATATAGATTTGAATTAGTTTAA